AAAAAGAAAAAAAAAAAAAAAAAAAAAGAGAAGCACAAAGCCGATCGATAACTGAGCTGAGTCACTTTTATATACCGCAGAATGCGGGGATGCGTCTTTACGTGTGGTGCGCAATATCATCGTGCAATGGCCGAGTACCGATTTGTTGTCGGAGGAATCAAATGCCCTCCAATAACACGTGAGGAAATTGTCAATGCTTGTGGAGTTGAAGATATCCACGACGGAACTAACTATTCACGGTTTTTGAACCACCTTCGACATTCTTCGACTTGCGTTTTTAAGAATTTAATCTTCTTACAGACATTTGTTGCTTTTCTTATTCACATTTTTACTGATTCACATTTTAATTATTCAGGACAGCTTGTGTTATTGCTGTTGCAAAGGCTCGTGACACTTTTGAACCTTTTCTTCATCAGGTGACGAATTCAATACATAAGTTACCCAATATGATTTTTTTTTTCTTTTTTTTTAAAAGAAAAAAAAATACTATTAATATTTTTTAATTTCTTTTTGTGGTATCAGTTGGGTGGCAGATTGCTTCATATTCTAAAGAGATTGCTCCCGATCTCGGTTTTTCTTCTCCAGGTAGATTATTTGTTATTTTTACAGTTTTAGAGTGTCAAAGTCCACTATTGTTTTATGTTTTCCGATTCATTTTCAACAGAAAGACGGTGAATACCTCAGCGGCCACGAAGTTTTTCTAAATCGTGTCGCCTCCGCCTTTAACAACTTTGCTGAATCAACTGAACAATCGTGCCGCGAAAAGTTAGTATAACTGCTTTCTTTTTTTTTTTTTTTATTTACTTCATTCTTTTAGGTACACTTTTCTTGTATCAAACGAATCTATATAACACGATTCCTTTCCTTGTTGCTTTCGAAACATAAACACACTACCGATTCTTCATCCCAAGTAAAGATGATTTTTACCCCTCCTAAAATATTATCCTATGCTTCGAATATCGAGCCGAAATTTCCAGCTTCACTATATACTTGGATGTATCGTATTCGTTACTCTTACGCCTTCTATTTATCTTTGCAATTAATTCAATTTTTTTCCGGTATATAAACTTGCAGGTGCATGGAAGATTTAGTGAGCACCACTCGCTACGTTTCTTGGTCTCTACACAATAAGGTGCATATATATATATATATATATATATATATATATATATATATATATATAAATAAAATCTTTTTGTACCACTTTACTTTTGTTGAATACGACATTCGGGCATTCTCTCGACAATTAGATTTAACGCTTAACACATAATCCAATTGCAGAATAGAGCTGGATTACGTCAGTTCTTGGATTCATTTGCTGGATCAGACTCCACCACTATTTCTCCGGAATTATCTGTGGGCAACGAAAGGCAAGAGGCTAAGTCAAAATCAGATGTAAAAGTCAACAGTTTGACTTCGGGATTTGATTCAACGGGGAGTAGTGGTCCCACAACAGAAACAAGGCTAGCCGACCTTTTAGACAGTACACTATGGAACAGAAGGCTCGCCCCTTCGTCTGAAAGGATCGTTTATGCTTTGGTTCAACAAATATTTCACGGTATTCGAGAATATTTCCTCGCATCCACCGAGCTAAAGGTTCGTAACTCCAGATCGTATATAGAATTTTTTAAATATCTGATTTCGTTAAATTTTATAATAACATTAACCAAAATGGTTTTAAATTTTTTGCAGTTCAACTGTTTTCTTCTTATGCCGGTTGTTGACAAATTGCCGGCACTACTTCGAGAAGATTTGGACTCTGCTTTCGAAGATTTAGATAATGTCTTTGACATCACCACCATGAGACATTCGCTGTCACAGCGTAAACGAGAGACGGAAATCGAGCTCAAACGGGTACCTTTTCTTGTCATTTTTTCTTATATTTAAATATTCGGTCTCTCCATTTTATTTTGAAAAAAAAAAAATAAAAAAAAAAATCGTTAAATGACCTCGTAATTTAGATACAAAGGCTTAAAGAGAAATTCAGACAAATCCACGAACAGCTTACTTCAAGTCTTGCAATGTGGAGGCCATACTGATGATTTTACCTCTGTGAGTTGTCTATTTTGTTTTTCCTTAAACCTTGCTTAATTAACAACTGTGCATGCATGAGAAACGAACACGTGCATGAAAATATCTCGTGATCGTTTCTGTATGTGCTGTTCACCATACTCTAATTTAGAGTCTCGATTTTTTCATTTGCAACAGAACAAACGGCACAGAAATCGAGGGGGAGAAGCATCTCTCAATATATTTGCATGCAAACGTGATTAACGGAAGATAAAGAGGTAAGTCGATGTTGGATTTAACTTTGTATTTCTATTTATTCAACTTGTTGAGGGATACACCGAATCCAATTTCTGTTTCGTAAGTAAATTCATCTCGTTGATATAATAATTAATTAGTGTTACTTAAGTGTTCTAAATATTTGAGTTTTGCACATCTAACTTCATTGCTTCCTTTTCAATTTAGTATATTAATACTTGAAACTTACATACATCAGAACCTCGATAAATTAATACTCGATTAGTTTATAACTTCGCTTAAGTAATATTTTTTTTTCAGTCCCTACTCGAGGATAGATATTAGCGTCAATTTCCATTATTGGATTTGGAACAAAGACAGGCATTGTTGTATTGTTCCATCAAGATTGATGAGAACCAAATAGTTAGGCCAAAAATGAAAGGGATTGAACTCAAATTATGATCCACCAAAATAATAAGGGTAAATAGCACTTAACCCCCTGTGGTTTGTGCCTTGTGCACATGACCCCCTTTTACTTTCAATATAAGCACATGAACCCCCTGTAGTTTGAATTCGTGCACACGTTCCCCTTATACTTTTAATATAAGTACATAACCCCCCTTATGGTATTTCACTTGGTAAATAATCATGCTTATTAGGAAGATGAAATTTTTAAAAGTATAAGAGAATTATGTGCTTATATTAAAATATGAGGGGGTAATGTGATATATTGAAAGTACAAGGGGGTTATGTGCATAAAACTCAAACCACATGGGAGGTAAGTGCTATTTATCCAAGTAATAAAGATGAGTTTTTCTGCCCACTATGGATAATATTATCCAAATCAATTTTTTTTTTCTATTATAGCTCTTAAGACATCATAATTAGTTGCCAAATTATACTTTAAATTCAATCTAATTATAATAATTAAAAATAAAATCAAACACCTACTTGAATAGCTGTAATTTACTACTCCCTTCGTTTCTAAATATGTGTCGTTTTTCACCTTGGCACGAGTCTTAAGAATTTCAATAAATATGTCTTGATTTTAGGAAAATAGATATAAATAGACCAAAATACCCTTGTTTACTAATTAATGCATATAGAGTGTTGGAGAATTAATAAGCGGTATAATGTGAAAAATAATGTAATTATATGCTAGCTATTGAAATCTGTAAAGTGACAGTATATATAATGGAACCAAAAAAAATTCTTAAAAGAGACAGATATTAGTACTTGCCTGT